ACCAGGCAGATAACTATATGCATCCCACATTAATCCAAAAGCTGGGGGGGGATTTTTGCCCATGCCCTTGGAAGGTTTAGGAAAAAAATCACTGATGCAATTGTTATTTCAAGCTCCTTTGAACGGGGGGTTTTCGCGGGCAGAGAGATTTGTTTCTGTGTCTAGAAGAGATGCTGCATCCCAGATCTTTAAACTGTGAGTATAGTTGGGAGCCCGGCTTCAGGGACCCCACGGCTGCAATCACACACACTAAATAATCCACTTTCAATCCACTTTTAACCTAAGGAACATTTGATTGGGAACATTTGGCTGTACAATCTCAGAAGACTATACAGTTGACCAGAGAGAAGTACCACTGGACATGTGATTACACTGGAGGCTTCATTTGTATTTTTGTATTTCTTTTCCTTGCCCAGTGGTTAAACTTTGGAACAATTGGTTTCTGGTCTTTATTCCATATTTTGTATATGTAGGATTGTATGTATTTTTGCATATCAGCCAATATGTTCTGTCTGTATTAGACATCTGAGGAAGGCCTGTAAAGGCCGAAACGCGTTAGTTCTATCTTATTAGCCCTTGTATGTTTTTGTATTTCTATATGAGGTTTGCATGGGCCCTTGTTTGTTATTTTAATTTATGGTGAATAAATACATATATATTTTTGTATGTTTTATAATTAGAGTTTTAGAGTTGGCCCTTTTCTACTCTTGACTAACCTTTTTAGGTTCTGAATTCTAGGTTTAGGTTCAGTTTTCCCCCCTCTTTTCTTCTTAGCCCATGACTCAGAACATCAGGACCCAAAAGGTGAACCAAGCTTCACACAAACAATGCACACTTGGGCCTCAGAGGCTGTTTCAGATGCTCAAGGTGCAAAAAATGATCACCGCAATTGGCCAGGCGGGGTATAAATACGAGGAGCTTGCACTTCAGACTACGGCTCAAGCCACTGAACACAAAGAGCCTCAAAACTGGCAAAGTCGACAACTGCCTGCATACATTCCTTCTCCGTTATGGTCCCCCACCTTGTAGGATGGCCTGGCTGAGGAGGTCAGGAAGGTTCCCACTCTCCTGGCTTTCTGCAAACTGTGCAAAACTGCATTATTCAAGAGGGCTTTTCTATGCAGGTAACGGGGTAGTGCTGTTAGGAAAGATTTCACAAAGTTACTTGGATAAATTACTACAGACTGTCATCTGTACTAATGTGTATTGTTTGCTGTGGGCTGGCTCTCGCTGTGTAAGTTTGCATCATTTAATGCAGAGGTGCCGAACATAAGGGTTAGGGTTAGGGGTCTTATGCAGCCCACGAGCAACTGGTGCAAGGGAGGGAGTGCTGGCGGAGAGCCACTCCATTGTGGCTTCAGAATGGGGGAACAACCTCATCTGCAGCAGTCAAGCATTGTGGGAGTGTCTGCCCAGTGCTGTACCGCTGGCTCTCCAGTTCGCCCATGTGGGTTTTCCTCTGGACCCCCCTCCCAGCCCATGGGGCCTTGCACTGAAGATACACCAACTTGGAGCTTACCAGCTGCTGTCCTTTATAATGTTTATATCTCCACTACCTGGCATTCTACTTTATGGCATAGATGGCCTAGCCCGATGAAGTGACATTTATGTCAGATCCGGGCCTCGTAACAAATGAGTTCGACTCCCCTGATTTAATGTGTCATGCTAACCCTTATGCATTGCCTCAGTTCAGTTTTTTAGACGTCTGGTTGGATCTACAACCCAAATCCTATTTCATTGTTTACTGAATGTCCCATCTTGTTGGTTGTACTGACCCCTCTGTGTAATCCGCCTTGAATCCCAGGGAGAAAGATGGACCATAAATAACGTAAATAAATTAAGATAATTTTAAAAAAACCCTGAGCTGAAGGCTCTTACTCTCTAAATTCATGCTGGACCAGCAGAAGCCATAACCTGGTCCTGCACACTGCACTGTTCAAAAACATCAGCTGGTGAGTAGTACCGGGGTGGGGTGAACATCAGCCACGCTTCCGTGCCCCACCACATACAGAGCCACCATACAAGGGTACGTACTGGCAGCATGGGTAACAACTGGGGTTGCTCTGCCACAGGGCTGGGGAAAAGATGGGTAGCCACCTGCAATGCAACGTGGGAGCAGAGCCACTGATTTGAAGAGAAACTTTAAAACCCCTTTTGGCACGTGCTCACAACCTGCAGGGGAAGGGCCTCTCCGTATTGCAGCTTTGTTTGTCAACTTGACTGCTTTGAAATACATACACTTCAAAATATGAAACATGCTGTTTTATAGCTTCTCGAGCCGGGGAACAGCATCATCAATAACCATTGATTGTCCCGAAAGCATTATGAAGTTCTCTCAAAGAAAGGGCACTCGCTGTGCCTCTGGAAGGATTCCAAAGTTTTTTGCACTTATTTTGCAATTCTAAGTTACTGCCGGAATGTTCCCCGTGGCACAGCTGGGGGGGGCCGCTCTGCTTCAAGGATGGCTCTGGCTGTATCACTGCTGCAGAAGGGGAGGGGGAGGAGGCACTTCCTCAGAGTACTTTGAGAAGTCTCACCTGAAAGCTCTCCATGGCTTTGTCTCCCCTCCCCCCATCTCAGCTATTGTTCTTCAAGGGTTCTGCCCATTCTCTCTTGCTACCACCTGCCTGCACCCACAACATGCAAACTCATCTGTGGCACCACCTCCACACATCTCCTTTGGCTTCAAACCATCATCCTCAATCAAAACAAGGCCTAAACATGCATGATTACATTTTCTCACACTGCCTCTTACCATCTGCACCCTTTACGTGTATTGTTAGCTTAGTCTCTCCCCTCCCCCCCCTTTTGTTTCCTCTACTAAGTTGGGATTGTAGGATCCTTGGGGGCAGAGAACTACCTTTTGCCGTACGTGGTCTGGGAAAGGGGTGCCAATGGTTGCTGTCTGCGGGTGACCATTTGTAACCAACCTGTGTTTCATGATAGCAATGCCTTCAGGC